ATTGTGCTCCAGTTACAAGTCTAGAAGACAACTGCAGTGGAAAACAGTCCTCTGCTTATTTGTGGTAAATTATTGTACACAGAGCTTTTTGGAACAAGGCACTACTTTTAAATGTCTGGTCACCTCACGGGATATGTAGTGCATTTCCTGCCACTAGGATAAGAGGAAGGAAGCACCAAGGCCCAAACGTTTGATGTGTGGTCTACTGTAATTCCTTTCATGTGTTCAGTGGCTTTCATAGGATCCATGTCCTACAGTCAGTTTTGACCAGGCTGTGGTCCATTTCATTATGCTGACCCTCTTAAATGGAAAACAAACATTATAAATGGTATTAAGCTGCCACTGTTATAATGAAAGGGCTATCATCTTGCCCTTAAGCTGATTGCTTTATTAAATTTTATGGGAAGGTTTCCTTTGTTTTTTAAAGATAATTTCATTTTTGGAAGGGAATACTAGAAGTATCTGATAATTTAAATTAGACACTGTAGCTAGTATTTACATGACTTGCAAAAGCTTGGAATTATTCTTAAAAGTACCATATTTTAATATTTTAAGATAGACTTTCCCAAGATTCCTTGTGCGTTAAGAATCTTTATGCTATTTCACAGAGCAAAATCGCCACTTACCAATTTTTGAAACAACTTATGATGGTTGTTACATGTTTTTTATGCATTTTATACATATTAACCCACTATGCATATTGGTTTCCACTGTAAGATTTAGTTAATTGGTGGCATGAATTTGCTTAGCTAATGAACGAATTTCTTAGTTTGTTTTCATGTGGAGCTGCTGCCACATGAATTTGAATTTCATGTGATTTCAAGGCCAAAACTGTATCATCAATAAATGCTTAGAATATGAGTTTTATCTTATTATAAATTGAATGTGTTACATCTTGGAAATATGCACAGGTCTGACAAACATACAGAACTTTATTTCAGTAATAGATTAATAAAAATATGATCAGTAAAATGAACAACACAAAACTATCCTTAACAATTACAACTAATAGCAATGATTTGTGGGTGAAACTTACACATAATATTGATTTAACAGATAGCATTATAAAAGCTTTGACGGTGTCCTGGAAATTTAAATAAAAGAGATTAATCAACTGGTGGCGAAAATCCCTATAGAACTGGTAGAAGAACATGGGTTATGGTTTCTTTGGCAACCATATCACAGGGCAGTATTGGATTTCATATGGGGGTTTTCTATATTTTCTAAACTGTTTGCCTTTTATGTTAATAAGCTGTGACAAATATCATGGAGACTTGTTTCCTTTTGTTTAAATTCAGTTGTTAATAATTAAAATATTTGTGGCTCCCCATTGCCATATTGTCTAATCTTTAGATTGGGGAGTCCAAATCTTTAAGGATGTGGGGAAAACTAAAAAGTTGGGTATTTTATGTGTTCTTGCAAAACAGCTATTTGGAGAAGCGTGCAAATTCATAAAGTTGGTTGTCAATGAAGATAGAAGTGGTTTCAAAACATCTACTGCATTGCTATCTGTTACCATTTCTACCCTCAACAATGCAAGGCAGTTCCAGGTTTTTTTAATGATTTTTCTAGGCAAATAAATCCTTTAGACTTCATTTTTATTATTTTTTATAAGAAAGATTATGGATAGAGATGCTTGAGATGTATACTTTGCATGCAACCATGCCTGTTCTCATTTTTATTAATTAGTTTTGTATAAAGGATACAATTAGACACCAAGGGTTGCATGTCTCTTGGCAATTAACTTTGGGTACCTGACTTTTTCTGTTTCACATCTTATGTGATATGTTATTTTTCCATAAGAATAAAATTTAGGTATTTGTACATTTTGCTTAAATGGACAATAGTTTAAAGCTATATATAGAATACTAATTAAGAAAAAATAAGAGGAGATAAAAATCCCTTGGCAGTACAATGATCTCAATTCAAATCGAGAAATTCATGGCTGGTCATGTCACCTAAAAATATGTGACATATTTTATATTTTAGCTGACATGACCAGCCATGAATTTCTCATGCTCTTTAAATTATTATTATTAAAATTCTGTGTAGGGCAGAATCCATTACTTTGCTGGAGAGAAAATTATTTATTGTTTTGCGGTCTTTCCCATATTTCTTAAACTAGATTATTTTTAAAAGGCCAAAATAACGTTTTTAGAGGTGCTCTAGGTTGAAGTAATGTTTTGGCTCTTATACATAAAACGGCAGGAAGGAGAAAATGGGAAGAAAAATATGTATGCCAAAAGCTTTTTCTTTTTGAAAGCTTCTTACACCTAATATCTTGACCAGATGAACACACAAAATACTTCAACATACAGAATGTGAACACCTGCTCTTTGGATCCTTTGTTAAGAGCAGTTTACAGTATATTGATATTTTATCTTTATAAAAACCTTTAAAAAGCATGTTAAGCCAAGAAAAACTGTTTCCCTGAATGTAAACTTCAAAGCATAATACTGAGAGCTAAATGTTATAACTATCTATAATATCTAGTTTTGTAAAGTAGATAAAGGTGTAAAAGTTTTTATATTAAATACGATTAATCACATAAAGTACTATTATATAACATTTAAAAATATTTTTGTTTGGGAGCTTTTTTACCTGCTTTCTATAGCCTTTTATAATTCTCCAGTGGACTGTAAGAGAATACATGTTGAATTTCTTACAATAAGCCTCTGAATTTTGCCTATTCAGCAATGAATAGTAACTGATTCAACATGAGCTGTTTCTTGTATAAACATACAAAATGCCTGACCCAGACTAAATCAATTTAAAAAGGAAAACATTAAAGTTATGTTTCCGGTTACATGCTTAAGGTCTTCTTTGACTGTATTACATTACTGTGTTATTTACCAACTATGGTAGACTTTCAATTTATCCTTTGATGCCACCTGCAAAGAAGAGGACAGAGATCTTATAGGATGGCAAAAAAAAAAAAAAAAAAGTTTAGAGAAGTTTTAGTCATTTATTGTCTGGTTACTATATATTAATGCAAAATTATAATTCACTAAAGTTTGAAAGTTTAGCTGATTGTTTTGGCCTATGACATTAAAATTTAATGAAGTGCCAAGATCTTCAACAAAGGATTATTATAAAGAAGGTAATGAATAAGGAAACTTCTATACCTGGCCCTTAATAAATAAAATATAAGCATAATTTTTGAGCTAGTCAATAAGTGATGAATATCCATAACAGGAGATAACCTGTGATTGGTTGCAGCTCTCCATGGTATCAGTCCACTACTAGCTGGAAATACTAAGAGATAAAAACTGATCCTTCTATATTGCCATAAACATGATAGCGCTAATATATTCCATCACTGAATTTTTGGTCAGTCACCAAAATATGTGTTCTCCTAAAGACTGATGAAACTGGATAGTTTTAAAACTGAATGATACCTGTGACATAATTGAAATTCTGCTGAAGTCTGAATGATATCCTGGAAATTAGCTAAATTCACTTGACACATTATCTCCTAGCTATTCAGTATACTTTCCAGTATAATAGGTGCTTTGTGATTTTCTTTGAAATTAAGGTGTATGATGCAGCTAAAGTAATGGTGTAAGAAAACAACTATTAACTTAAGACAAATTTGATATAATCCATAGCTGAAACCAAATTTAAAATATGTTTATTTTCTACCACTCTGAGTCTATATAGGATTTATGTTCTGCCCAAGTAAGAATGTTTGATTTGAATGGTGAGAGTTCTATAAGGAATTATTCTAGCTTGGTTATCACACTATGACCTCTGTGCCATCAATCTTGATACATTTTAGTTATTTATGTTAAATGTATGGATTAAGTGCATTAGATGCTTGACAATTTACAGTTTATTTACATGTCCACCCAAGATGAAAAAATGCTCCCTCAATTTGATTAAATATCCAACAAGTATTTGAAATTTTCTTATAATTTTTAACAATTTATCTAGTGTCGTACTAACAATACATCATTTTATCAAAGTTCTCTTTAAGATTATACAATTCAATGTAAATTTTAATCCTTTCTTCTATATACTCTTCCATTGGCCCGACTATAGATTATATCCTATTTTTTTGCCTGTTTTATTATAACTATCTTTAACTTCATTGTACTGTTTCCATTTTGATAAAGTTTATAGATCTTAGTAATAATATGATCATCATTAGTACAGAACTGTACATCAAATTCAGTATTATGCTTTTCAAATTTATAATTCATTTCATCCAACTTAAATCTTGTCATTTGATAACCTAGTCTACGCTGCTTCTAGTTAACAAAATACGTATTAAGTGAAATTCTTAATTGATCTATGCCTAATAGAGAGATCAATAGTTATGGCTTGATTTGATGATGATGACCACAGCATAAGGAAAATTATGACTTGGAATATAAGAAGCATAAATGATAAAACGTGAATTAACAAATGAAATAAAATAAAATAAAGTAAATATGTTACATGCCTGTGAAAGTTGGAGAAATGGGATGGATGAAATAGATCTGGCGTTCATTTCCTTGTGTGTAATTCACCTGCTCCATTTTGAGATCCAAGAATGATGGAAAATGATGGTAAATGATGGTTGCCTACTTAGAAAAAAGATCTGTTTCTTTTGAATATATATTTTAATATGTTCACATAATAAAAGAATGATATAAATCTAAAATTGTAGTTTATTTTATTATTTATAATTTAAGAGACTTAATTAAGAATATGAAACAGTGAGAAGTTATGTCATGAGATAGACCATTATTTGGTAGTATGAAGAATAATTTGGGGGAGAAAACTGGATATGGAAGAAAAAGAAATTAAAAAAGGAAACAAATTAGAATGGAAATAGAATGACTACAGAAAATTCAGGTACTGTATGAAAAACTGTTAGAATATTAGTCTCCCAACAGAATAAATGGGTAAAGTGAATGGATCCAATCTCATAATTAATGTTATTGTTGCCTTAAAACTGTTGAGTTAGCTTTGGATTTGAAGAAAATAGTGACATTGTTTGATTTCTGCCATCATAGGAGAGCACTGAATTTGGGAGTTCTTCGAGATCCTGGTTCAGAGGTTGAAGACAGACAGTACCAAATAGACCTCCAGTCCATCAACATTGGTACTGCTCAGTGGGAACAGCTAAAGCCAGAGAAGGAAAATGGTAAAAGCAGGGCTGTGCCAGAGAATGAAAGGAATTCTCAGAATCCAGCACTTGAATGGAATATGGCCAGTAGGTAAGAATATGCTTGGAAGTGGTGCTTTGTGGATTCTATGCAAAAAGGTGTAATGGTAACAGCATCTCATAGATTTGAGCTAATTGATTTTTTTATTTATACATAGAAGTGTATGTTTGCACTTCCGTTGCAAACACGTTTTCCATGAGCTAGGATTCTGAATAAGGCATTTCAAACTGTTTATAGAATTGTTGTCCAATAATCATACAGATAAAGCTATGTCTATATTTCTGTAATAGCTTATTATAGCCATAAAGTGTAACACGGGCCAAAACCTGACATTCCCATTACTAGTCTAGAAAAAGCAGCAGCATTATCCCTTTTGTACTTTTGTAAAAGTTTGAACAGAACTAGTTTAGACATTTTAAAGCCAACAGACGACAAAAATGTTTCCCCCCAATTGGCTTGAAACCAGTTTCTGTGCTTCTGTAAATGAAAACAGCTGCTGTTTCTGAAATGACAAATTTCTGTTGATTTGTTGATATGCAAAAGAGGGCTTCCAACTCAAATCTAGTTAGAAATATTACATTGACATCTTCCATTTTTAGTTCTCCATTTTGATTACATTGCTACAATAGACTTTGATTTTGTTTTCAGTCAAGGGTCACAGTAGGCCTTTAAAGATAGGCTACCCAGCATATGCATTGCAGTGAATGCAAAAAAGGCAATTAAAATAATGCCTGTTGAAAAGAGTCTGATCAATGGAGTTCTGCAATATTTTTATGTAAAGGGGGGTGGGTGGGAGCCAAACATCTACCTGCAAAGGCTGTGGTTCAGGAGCATAAAGCATTTTTCTAAGGTTTCAGATCAAGTGGGTATATTTTTTCCATGTTCCTTGTTTCTTTATTTGCTGCATTTTTTAATCCCAGAAGATTAGAATAACTAAATATAGCATCTCTAAAACCTTAAAAGACCCTTAATATTAAAAAAAACCAAACTAAAATCAAAATCTTATTTAGCTTTTGCAGTTTATTTCAGATTATTTAATTTTTTAAGTTTATGATTAAAAAATTTTTTTGTTCAGGAATGGAGGCAAACTCATGCAGTTTATTCAGAGCTTGTTCTGAAGGTCTCTAATAGCTTAGAGGTAGTTATGATTAGAAAGTGAGGTTTGTGAATTTAGTGTCTTTTAAAAGTCTCTTATCACTGTTTGGAACAAGTTAGCTGATCTCTTTGTCTCCTGGCATGCAAGCCTGCAGAAAACCTGTCCTGCAGTTTCCTCAGGAGAGCAGTCATCCAAAGCACATGTGGGCAATCTCCTGTCCTCTCTTTATCCAAAGAGGTTCCAAGGAAACCTATTCATCAATTCATTAGCCTTTGCTGTAGTTGAGGCTATTTTCAATTCACAGAGGCAGAGCTGTCTTCAATTCACCATAACTCCTCAAGAAGTTGAGTTTTGTGGGATTTTGTTACACATATGCATACACATGGCAGGCTTTGCTAAGGGGTTCTTTTTCTGCCTGTAGCATTTTTTTTTTGTGATGTTAAGTTTACAAACACATGTCTTTTTGAACACTGCAAAGGCAAAATCATCCACAGCAGTTAAATAACAGCATTTTTTTTTGTAAAATATATCTACATTTTTTTTAGTTTCAACACTGCTGTAGTTTTAGTTTCAGCATCAATTCCCAAATACAATAAATATAAATAGCAGTTTAAGGCCCTTTTGTAAATCAAACCATTTTTATGGTATGGTCTTAAAAGCTTTGCAAAGTCTTCACTGTACTTATTAATTAGATGAAATGAAATAGATTGATATTCCTATATAAAATCCTTCATATTAAATATATATAAAGTCTTTGGTATCTAGATTTGAATAGACCAATGATAGTATTTTAAATGACCTGGAATGCCTTTCAGCTACTGTTATATTATTGGGCATACAGTCAACCAGATGGCTAGATTGTATTTGGCATTTTTATCCGTCTAAAGTCCTTCCAAAAGGGGAAGGACTTGGGAGAGGCAGAAATTGTTGTTCAACAGTATTAAATGTATCATTGCCGTTTATGATGATGATGTGTGAGTAATGTACATAAACATTTAAACTTCATCAAGACAATTGTAATAAGAAAATAAAATAATAGTGGCTTAATATTTTCATGTTTTCTTCTTTCGATTTATGGTTTGCCTTGCTACCTTTGCAAGTTTGGGAGAAAATGTGCTCAAAGTTTAGGTCAAAGTATACATATAACATTAATGTTTTATTCTGAAGTATTCCAAATGCCCAATGAAGCTGTCTAAATATTCCTCTAAAAGAGTTGGTTCCAGAATATTTTTCTCCCTTTTTTAACCATTGTGAATATGCAGCATATAGGCACAACATAAAATGCCTGGAAAATCCTAGTAGGTTTCACAGAAGAGGTCTGATAAAAGGATATTATCAATTTCTGTGCCTTGAGATTTCTGGCAAAATTTACTTGTGTGTTTAATTGTGCAAGGCCTTGTTGATTTAGCAGAGGGGCATGGACATAAGCTAGAAAGAAAAATAGATTTTATTTTTTTAAAGGCCAGAAAAGCATTAATTTCATTCATGACTCCTAATAACTTAATTGGTAGTTCCCTCAAGAATATAAGGGAAAGAACCATTTTATTCTTTTTCTGTTATAGGGTTTACATGGTCACTTGCATCTCCAATACTTATTTTGTGGGTACATATTCTGGAGCATTTATTTACTTGTTTTCTTAGTACTATGTTTGAAACAAATGTTTTTTCAAAGCAGCATGTACAAAGAAGAGTCATATATATTTCTGAAATGTTCCTTCTGTTTCAAAAATAAACAGATGCCTAGGTTATACTATTCCTTACTGATGATACTCATATGGCCAACACCTGCCCCAAATTAATGGAACATTAAAGAGTGGTACCGTGTAGGAAAATTAGTAGAGAAAGCACAGGCTTATTTCTTGTTATCTCTTTAGAATCACTGGAAAAACCTTCAGATCTGAAGATAGTGTCTTACAGTTTAATTTAACACTTGCATGAATTCTAACACCTGCTGTAGCTTCTTTTCTTAGAGAAACATTTAAATATCCCGCAAAGCTAACTTTGCTGATGGGTCCCCAGTTAGGCAGTGAATGTTGAATAGTCCTCTCTTTCTCTGGATCCTTATCAGTTAACATGACTATTTAAAATTTTGTATAAGATTTAAAATATATGTTTATAAATATATTTATTACATATTTTCGAATAGAATAGCATTTATATGTTTATGTTGGATATTGATAGCATTAAAAAGTAATCTTAGAGCATTTTCTCAGCTTTCGTGCTCAGTTGTGTATGTGTGTTCTCTGACCATTATTGTAACAGTATTTTTCTGTAATGTTGCTAGGTTAAGAAATTAATATTTACAAATATGAAGGAACAGTCTTCTAACCATAAGAGTTTATCATTTAGTGTGCATTTATTTCATTTTATTTTTTAGCATAAAACACCATCAAGAACGAAGAGCTATTTTAACACCAATTTTAACAGACTTTACTGTACGGGTAACTGCAGCTCCTGCCATCATTTTCACAAAAGTAATTTCTCCAGAGAATTTACACACAGAGGTCAGTACGGGATATGAGATGTTTATCACTGAGCTTTATATCTGCACATTTGTTAATTATTAAGATGATATATAAAATTGTGTTAAAAATACTGTGTGGTATGCACTTGTTGGGCCAGAACAGAAAGTCCAGGCAAAATTATTTGCTGAATCCTTCAACATTGTCACCAGATCTCTAATGGATAATAAATTCTGCTTTTAAATGAAGCACATAGTGAAAACTGACTTGATTTAAGTTGAGATGCCAACCGCAAGGAATGCCATATTATTTTCCATGGCCAAAATTATATTTAAATCAGGCTTCTGAGCATCTTTTCTGAAGATCAATCTAAGAATCCTTAAATGTCAACATTGGGAAAGCAGGTCATTTAGGACCCCAAATGATATTTTCTTTTATAAGAAAGAAGGCTAAGGCATAATTTTAGATCACCCAAAGGAAATACAGTTTCAAGGCAGATTATTTTCTCTTTATTTTTTTTTTCAAACTTTCATCAAGAAAGTTTATATCATCTTTTTAGCAGCCAGCTGCTTGTTACCCTTAGCTCCCATCAGTTCATTTCAAACTTTGCACAGAGGTTTGGGGCTCTCATTCTTTATGGAAAAGGATTGTAGTTGTGGTACTTTAGTTTCTATCACTGGAGTGGCCAGGAATAGAATTGAAGGGCTCTATATGAAGCCTGCCCTATTTTGCTGCCCATGGCCCCAATCTCCACAGCTTTATCTTGTGTTGAATATCTGCTGAAAAAGAGAGTTTTAAAAAAAAGATGAATAGAGAAAGCATATAGTACAAAGTAACAGATGAATTTTACTGTTCCTGTTGTTCAGGAATGTAGCTGTTTTAATTTTTCTTGAATCTACTCCCTTTGGATATTCAGTAAGAAAGGGAGAGATCTACCACAGATTACTAAGGATGAATATGTACATATTTTTTTTTATCACAAGAGGATATGATTTCCTGCTTAGTAAGCAAATCTGTTTATTTTCTCCTTTCATTAATTTCTAAAACATGATTATGATTGTTTTCTTTGTGTGGGGGTTGTAATAGCCAGGGGACAATGGTCATTTATCTATGCTCCAAATGTTAGCAGACAGCTACAAATCAATTGAATCAGCTATCTGTGAGCTGCAAAATACAGTTTCATTATAAACTAAGATGTGCTGGTAGACTCAAATACATCTCTGTGAGAAAGGAGAATTACAATTTTCTGCCAAGAAAATGAATAAGGGCTCTTGACAGCCCAGAATTTAATATAACAAAGAAACAGGACCTCACACATGAAATACATGAAACAAAGAGAAAGCAACTTAATTGTTAAATATCCTGTTGGAACTGTAGCTGTATGACATATCACTCCTCCACTTGATTTTATTTTACAGATGGTGCATTGTCTTTTCTCTGAAGGAGATAGAGAAAATGTTAATAAACAATTGAGAGAACATAAACAGCTTATATTGTCTTTCTTAAAAATAAAATTATATAAATGCCAAGAATAAGCTGCTAACCAATGGAATTTGTCTTGCAAACTTGTTTCTTTCATAGGAAATTTTAGTATGTGGCCATTCTTTGGAAGTGAATATGACAACAGGTCTGGATTTCTTCCTCAGTGTTGCTCAATTACAGCTCCTACAACAATTAATGCAGGATAATATGTCTGGATTGGAGCCTTCCAATAAAGCTGCAGAGGTAACTTCCATTATCGGTTGACTTTTGGAAGCAACTGTGCTTCATCATCCAATATCTAACATTTTTATTATTGATAGTATGTGCTGCCTAAATATGTGTTACACATATCATGATTATGTCTGAAAGTACTTCAGTATAATGATCCCCTTTGGGATATACAGGTAGTCCTTGGCCACAATTGAGCCCAAAGTTTATATTGCTAAGTAAGACATTTGTTAAATGAGTTTTGCCCCATTTTACAACTTTTTTTGCCACAGTTGTTAAGTGATTCACTGCAGTTGTTACATTAGTAACACCGTTGTTAAGTTAATTTGGCTTTCCTGATGACTTTGCTGATCAGAAGGTCACAAAAGGTGATCACATTGCCCTGGGACAATGCAACCCGGGGCATTGCTAGGGTCATAAGTGTGAAAAATGGTCATGTCACTTTTTTCAGTGCTGTTGAAACTTCGAACGGTCACTAAGCGAACTGTTGTAAGTTGAGGACTACCTATGAAGGAACCCTGTCTTCTGTATGTATTTTCTTGGCTACATTTTGTTTGTCTGATCATAGGAAAGGAAGAGTTTGGTTTCATTCTTTTCAGCTATTGGCTACAGTAAAATCAGTCCAATTGACTTGCACAATTATACAATTGAGGAACAAGCAAGTAGTTGGTAGTTTAAACTATAGTTAAACCTTTCTCCAATTTGAAGCTCGATTGAAGCATTAGAATTGCGATATCAGATTTTTTTTTTCCTATTCTAGCTATGGCACATCACTTGAACTAGTCTCAGGTGTATCACATACACAGGTGTTGCCCAGAATAGTCATGGTTAGCTGCATAAATTCTGTAGCATTCATCAGGATACCAGAGAAAACCAGGCTCTGCAGAACAAATTGAGAACACTACCTAAAATCCTATTTTCCCCAAAACAGCAACACTGTGAGATGAGTTGGGCTGAGACACAGTGGCTGCCCCAAAATCACCCAACCAACTTTCATGGCTAAGGTGGAACTAGTATTCACAATCTCCCACTAGGCCAAACTCCACTAGGCCAAACTGATTAACCTTGTTCTAAACATAGTTTTCTTTCCTCTTGTAAATCCAAACCTAAGAAATATACTTTAAGAATGAACATTTCTCTACAATAATATCCTAAATTTCATCTACTTTTTTTCTTTCAAATAAGCCAGAGTCATAATCTTGAATTTCCTTTTCATTACTATTTAGGCTTGTTTGTAGAGGTTCCGGTGAAGTATCTTAGTTCCTAACATTACGCTAAACAAAACATACATAGGGCTCTTTGTGTTTGCTTGACTCTGCACCCCAAAGCATTAGAAAATTTAAATGGTTACTGGTCCAGAGTATTATTTCAATGTGTGCCCAGCGGCTCAGGACAAAATAAAAACAAAAGGAAACTGGATATCATAAAGTTTCTTGGGGATCTAGAGGGATTGGCAATATTTCCATAATCATATTTGGAACAGCAATCTATACCAAATCAGCTGTTTTCTAAAGGCACCTTCAAACTGCTCATTAAATGTTCATTGGTCTGAAAAACTGGACTCCTTCATTTCTTGCTGGGAATAAACGATAAATAGAAATAATTACATTTGCTGACTTATTTCTTTATTTCGGATAAGCAGCACTTCTAAAATAGTCTAGTTTATCATTGCCTGTGAACAATGCTACTCCACAAAAGTATTCTCTTATTAGAAATGGTTACAGTGACTATAGTCCAGCAAGGAAGAAGCAAAATAATTTCTGCTCATTGGCAGTGTTTAAGATTATCCCTTTTAATGGCTTCAATATATAAGTAACCTAAAACTTCTCTTCAAGTTCCATTTCACAATAGAGCCTATTTATTCAATTCCTCCTATCTTGAGCTGTTATAACTTATTTTATGGCAGCGAACCTTTGTTTCATTTTCACTCCCCCACTTAGACACTCTCTGAACGATGAGCATCAAGAAGGAAAAGAACATTATATTTCCAACATTATATTTCCTTTGCTATATATTTCTCAACTCCCATTAGGAGCTCCTTCACATTTCTTTTCCCAGCAAAGGAAGACCATCTTCTATCATCTGCAAACATATCCTCCAACACATAGTCTTCTGAGACCTCTACAAATCCTAAGTTCAAAGAAAAGCAACAAAATTACTCAGAGGACTGGGCTGATTTATGATCAAGGTTTCTGAATATATATATATATATAGTTTGACTAAGAAATGCAGAGTCTAAAAGAGGACATAAATCTGCAAATGTAGCACCATGATGTAAACATCAGCAAAAAAGGGACATTTTAGGACTTCATAAGAGATCATTACTAGAAATCAGATACTACTATTCAAAGTAAAATAGTGCAGGGACCAAGAACTCTTCAGATGGAGTTAATGGTTTGAATTACAAATTATTTCTCAACTCCTGTTCAGTTGTTTGTACTAATTCAAACCTTATCACTAATTATTCTACATAATGTTGCATACCTGAATTTCAAACATCACTTAGACATTTTGTGGTACAACACATTACAAAAGGATAAAAGTTGAAGACTGAAGATACATTACAGTAATTGAATAACAAGTTTGTTTTTAAAAGTTGGCTAGCTGATCTGGAAGTAGTAATTACTTTGTTCACAAATATCCAGTAATCATCATATTAAACCCACTTCCAAAAGGACCATATGTAAGAAATAGTATATGTATACTTTTTAAACCAGTGTTACAGAGTAAATTAAATGTTTATATTTTACCAAAATAAAAAACATATTGTGTAGAACGTTAGAGAGTAACCACATAATTAAGGCCAAAAATGGTTCTTCTTTGATCTATGTAGGTGCTAAAGGACAAATGTTATTTTATGTAAATGTAAATTTCTGAATTTTCCAGTACTTCCTATTACAGTTCTCAGATCTTTATTCTTGTACAGTTGTCTTATTTTGATTGGACTTACTTTACTAACATTGTCATTCCTTTAGAGTTTAATTTTGCTTGTTTATCTGTAATTGAGATTAAAGTATTTAAGCAGAACAAGAGACTTCTGTGGGATCGTTTAGTTTCGGTTAACATAGCAAAGATTTTAATTTTGTTATGCGAAAATGCAAACATTAACTTATGCATCACCAGGTAATATAGGATTGAGTTAAATCTTCTTGTATGCTAGCTTCTGGGGAAAAATATTTGTACATTATTGAAGGTATAAAATTACTATTCCAGAATCATAATTTTTTGTTTAGCAGGGGGAAATAAATCACTTCTGTAGCAATCATCCTTTTTTCTTGTTGTTGGGTCTTCTCTGTATGTACCTATAATGAAGTATACAAGCTCATCAGAATAGTTTTATCAAGTCAAAAATATTGCGGAAGGTGTTGTAATAATTGAAAAAGTAGTAGTGGAATGTTGAGCAACTTTCATTAGTTTTGGCTGTATCTTGTGTGAAAGAATCCTGGACTGCATTGAAGACCAAAGGATATTGTACAGCTACTAGGCTTTTGAAAATGTATTTATGTACTCTATTCTACATAATGAAATAGATCAGGGACTATTTCCATTTAGTGTTAAAGAAACAATCTCAAGTGAATAATAGCCATGTTTCTTCTTAATTTTTAATATTCTTGACATATCCATGAATCTTTTATACTGTCTGTTTACTTATTATTTTATCTTTATTCCTATTAAAAGTACCATATCAGTAGATCTCAAGATAATTTAGAATATTCATAAAGATTACAAGCAGATAATATAATTCAGTAAAAGAATTACAAATTCTCAGAACAATTCCAAAGAAAAAATTACGAACTAATTTTTGTGAATAATTTATGATCTGTGGCAGGCTGGTTAGCGAATTCTGGCATCTTTAAAGTTGCCAACTTTGAAAAACACTGGTTTAGGGACCCTGAATTCTAAGCCTGATTATTTTTCAGCTGCTGTAGCATCCTCAAATCTTGCAGCTGACTTTCAGAAGTGAAGCCATGAATTTTCATCAATATATTTTTAGTTATTGTAATTTGTATTTGAGGGCAAACTAAGATGCTGAATAGGTATGCAAAGGCTCTATTTTGTAAGAGCTGAAACTAGCGAGATGGGAGATAGCTCTTCTCAGGCAGGGAATCAAGGCTGACAAAATAATGGGTAAGCGCATGATAATTTAAAAGTTGGGAAAAAACTCTTAAATTTTGAAATGGAAGCATATATGTATACATTTCTGTGTTTTGTAGCAGGATGATTTTTTTGAACAGTTATGACAGCAAATATATCTACTGGCATAACGTCCTTGAAATTTGTAGTTGCTGAATGTGAGTTTGAGTTTCTGGTAGTTTAAAGCTGAAGTTCTGTAGAAAGGAAGGAGGACTGCCCTAAATTTTGTACTGCATATAACAGTTGCAGCAGTTTCCTATTCCAGAAGTAGACAGAGGGGTAGTTGATAATATCAGGAGTTTCTTGGTTCTATAATGATCCACAACTATCAGATTTCTACAGTATCTGCTGTGAGGAACAGGTGTAGAACCACTAGCCATCTGCAAGTACAAAGGAGACCACACACTAATTTATAACCAAATGCAGATCTCACTAGATAAGCTTCTTGTATCCCTTTTCTCTTCTGCATTCTGGGGAGAGTCAGTGGGCTTTATTGCAAGAGGCAAGTTTATTGGAATACAAGAATTGACACCTCCTAGGGGGAATTTTTTCCATTCATTTGTTTGCAAATCTAAAGTCTCATTCTCTTTAATCTGAACAAAAGTTCCCATAAATTGGGAAGAATATGTGGTTTTGCTAAGAGCAACTGCGGTATGCTAAAGGATGGGGAACTCTTATATTTTACTCATTACAAATTATTTCATATTCATCACAGGATAGTTCTATGTGGCAGTCTTTTTAAAAACTACTGATCTAGCAAATACCACTACCTAGCTTAAAAACTGAACTTTGATTGTCTTCATTTGTGCAATCTTGAAAACAGTCAGAGAAAACCATACGCAAAGCAACTCTTCCTCCAGCTGATTAATAAAAGAGTTCAA